TAATCAAACTCTCCTCATTTCATACAGACATTAATTAAAGCTTTACAAAGCAACCTGTGTGTAAAAAAACCAAAGCTACAAAACAACCCCACCATGTTCTGTGCTGCCTGATGGGCCAAATTTCCCTGTTTTTAGTCCCTGTTAATCAAACTCTCCTCATTTCATACAGATCTTTATTAAAGTTTTAAGAAACCATCTCTGTGTATAAAAATGCAAAGCCAGAAAACAAGCCCACCACATTCTGTGCTGCCTGATGGGCCAAATTTCCCTGGTTTTAGTCCCTGTTAATCAAACTCTCCCTCATTTCATACAGGTATTAATTAAAGCTTTAAGAAGCCACCTGTGTGTATAAAAATGCAAAGCCACAAAACAACCCCACCATGTTCTGTGCTGCCTGATGGGCCAAATTCCCATGTTTTTAGTCCCTCACTTGATTAAACTTTTCTCATTTCATACAGATATTTATTAAGGCTTTGAGAAACCATCTCTGTGTATAAAAATGCAAAGCTAGAAAACAACCCCACCACATTCTGTGCTGCCTGATGGGTCAAACTTCCCTGTCTTTAGTCCCTCACTTGATTAAACTCTCCTCATTTCATACAGGTATTAATTAAAGTTTTAAGAAGCCACCTGTGTGTATAAAAAGGCAAAGCCAGAAAACAACCCAACCACATTCTGTGCTGTCTGATGGGCCAAATTTCCCTGTTTTCAGTCCCTCCTAATCAAACTCTCCCTCATTTCATACAGATATTTATTAAAGCTTTGAGAAGCCACCTGTGTGCATAACCAGTGCAGCATCACCTGCTTTGCACTTCAACACCCAACCGCCAAAAAACCCCATCCATTTGGGCAAGTGTTAAAACCAGCACCATTTGGGAGAGGAAACTGGACTTGGGAGGGTGTTTGGGAAATAAACCTCGACTTGGGAGGGTGTTTGGGAAATAAAACTCACCATGGCTGCCTGGCAAAGACCCCGCACCTTTTCTTTCTTCCGATTCCGATTTCATTCCAGTGACAGGAAAAGCTGGTGGAGGCATCAACTGCCTGTGGAAAACAAGATTT